ACAATAACCTCTTGTATAGGCTCACGACCAGCACTTTGAAGAAAAGGCACCAAATCTGGACCTCCATACTCCAACAACTCATCTTCAAGACCCAAATCAATCATAGTCCTGTACAGGTACTCATGAAATGCCCTGTCAGGTGATTGGACACCAAGCTGAACAATCTGGCATATATACTTTTTCCTTGAGCTCTGATCAATAGCAGTTCTTGACATAGCGGGCCTAACAGCAGACCCAAATTCTTTCTGTACAACATCGCCTTTTAGAGACCTCAAAGCACTAGCAATTATCTCATAGCAAATTTCACGCTGAGCAAGTGCATGTTCTCGGATTGATGCATCAATTTGTTCATTGAGAGCATCACCTGCAGGATCAAGAGCTTGGGCCTTTTGAAGAGGTAAGCGCACCACAGCTTCATAGAATCTGCAGTAAATATAGATCAACTTACAGACAAAAGGTTCAACAAAAAGAACCATGGATAGAACTATTTAATCTGTGACCTGAACAAAAATTTTGTTTTTACCTTAAGTCTTCAAAGCGTTTGCAAACAGTTCGTAAATCTGCAGATTCTGGAACTTTACTCAAAAAGTTAAAGGCCTGTCTAGCAAGATTCTCTTTCTCTTCAGAATCCAGCATTACAGCAGCTCTTTCAAGACATTCGACAGCTAAGAAGAACTTGTAATCGGACTCCCTGAAATAGTTTGGACATCCTTCACGTAACCTCCCGCTTATATCATCAACTGTGCCCCTGCCATCAGGACCAGTATAATAGTGGCACAAATGACACAAAATAAGAGGAAATGGAAACAAGAATCTAATAAGAGCTTATTGACATTAAACTTAGTCAACAATGTCTGATGTACACTTGGAATTACCTCCATCAAAGCAGAAATAAGCCTTGTTGCAAAAAGATCACCCTCCTCAGCACAGACAAGTTGATGAAATGTCAGTTGAAGTAGTGCCTGCTTTAAGTTAGCATCAAATGCTTGAACCAGGCGTGTTACATGATGTTGAGAAAGAAGCTGAAGCAAGAAAAGGGCTTCAGCAGATCTAAGAAGCAATTGCCTGATACATTCCATCGCCCTCACCTGAGAAATAGAAGACTAGTAGTAAATGAACAAAAGAACTGAAAAAGAAGGGCATAAACACATCATTCTCAAGCAATGTCATCACACCTCCATGGCAGCCAATTCAGCAGGACTAAAAGGCAGCCGCTGCCTTTTATTGGATGCCCCAACACCATTTGATTCAGCATTCCTTGAATAAGAACCAAACAAGTTTCCAACCATCCTCCTGTCTCCAGCAACTAATTCTGAACCAGTTCCATACAAAATAGAACCCCCCATTTCTCCTAACCCAGCCACAGCTCCATAAAGTCCCCTTCTCTGATTCCTCCTGGACCTTAGAAACTTCTCTAAGGAACGAATCTTGTTTTCAAGGACTTGCATAGCCCCAATAGAAAGTCTGCATACAATAACTACATTCTCTGACGTGGCACCATAGCCACCTCTAGCAACCATCACAGGAAGTTCCCAGACAGGAAACAGCAATCTCGAGGAGCAGAGGCAAAGCCCTTCATGTGAACCTGAAAACACAGGCTCAGCCTCCTGAACAACCTGGCCCATACTGAAACCTCCCGCTGCGGTTCTAGTGTTAGCGAATGCACTGCTACCTTCAAGTTGTGGCATTCCAACAATTCTGGGGTCCTCAAAAGCTTCAGCTGCCTTTTCAGAAACTAAATTGCTTATAAGATTTTCGGAATGAACAATCCTTGCAGCTAGGAGAAGACACATTGCAGCTGCCTCACCAGCTCCAAATCGATTGAAAAATTCCTCCAAGATTGATCTTGGAGAGTTGGACTCAAGCAATCTTCTCAGAATATCTACAGGTCTGTTGAAAACCATTTCCGTCATTCCCATAGTACTGAAAATAACAATCCTCCTCCTTGGCAGTATGTGCTGAGTTGAAAGATCACCTCTAGCCCATAGTTTTACAGATGCCCTTTCACAGGATTCTCCTATGATATCAAATCCACAAAATTCAAGTTCAGAATACAGTGACTGCACAGTGGCAGCTGTGTCAGGTGAGGGCAGAACATCTGCTACAAAAAGCATTCGACCCTCAACGGGTAAAGTAGACAAAGATTCCCGTAATGCTCTATAGCTCCTAGAACTTGTTCCTAAATTACCAGGCTGAGATGATTGGGAGCTTGAATCCCTGCTAACAACTAGAAGAGAAGACATGGTAGGCGGCGAGGAATCAGAGAGAATAAGAGTTCCTGCAGAATAATATGCTGTTTCAACCTTTAGAGAAAGATCTTCGTTCTGTGTTCTTCCCGCTAGAGATAGAGCCCCAAAAGCAAGCCCACTGCTGACCCCCAAGGGAGGAGAAGGCCTAGTTGTCACAACTTTCAAACAGCTTGGCCTGTGATAATTGCTGAATCCACCCAAACTTCCGACAGTACCATTATTTCCACTTGATGAGGATGTGGAAAGGTACATCCTTCTGCCATCTGACAAAACAGCAACAAGATGCAGCCACTTCGATTCCAGTGTGGATAAAGGTGAAATACAAACTATAGACGGCTTTGTTGACCGACTTGGGGCTCTTGATGCTGTAGACTGGCGACCTCCATACTGTATGTCCCTTTGATTTAATAGGTTCCTTTCTTCTGTCACCTTCTTCAATGGACCATCTCCATTTGGACCTAGCACAAAAACCTGAAGCTTCATCTCCTCAGTTCGTGCATATAAAATCTGCCTTTCATTATCAACAACCATTTCAACAATGGGATCTACAGCACCAAACTTAAATACAGTTGGTACAACCCACCTGAAAATCAACAGGGTATCTTGTAACTTAACACAAAAAATGACAAGCAAAAAGAAAGATAAAAAAATGAGCAGGCAAGAAGTAACACTTCCCCATCAAAGGCCAATTTGACTGCTGCATTCAATTGTCGCAGGAATCCTAAATAGCATAACATAATATTGAAGCAGAAAGAATACAACATACCTTGATATCACACTGCCAACACTTGCAGTAAGGCAAACTTTACGGCAACGTTTATACCAGCCTGAACCACTTGTGTAAAGCAACTCGTAAATGTGGCCATCACGACCAGATAGGAAAATACGGCCCCTATCAGTACATGTTATACAAGTCATGGTGACTCCATCAGAGGGTATTGTATATTCTGGCAAGGGCTGTAGTGAAACCTCCGCAAAAGGATCCGTTCCATCAACTCCTCCAGAGCAGCATACGCCTACAAGACTCAACTGATGGCAAACAGAATAGTACAGAAACATACCAGTCAAAACAAGAAAGTAAGATCATTAACCAACTGAGTAAATGGACTAATGAGAAGAGACAACAAAACCAAGGACCACTTGAACTGGGAAAGTAGAAAATGAACTGATGATGATTCGAGCGATAACAAGAACAATAAAAGAAATAAATGGAAAGACCAAAATTCATATAAACAAGAACACAAAAATTATTCAAAGTATCAGAAAAAGAGGAGTTTCAGTAGAAAGAGTATATTCACAAGGCACCAAGGGGATGATATATATGCAAAGAGAATAACAAAAGGAGTTGATTATGATATCTACAACTTCTCCCATATCATTCTCATAATAAAGGGTTAAAGAAAAATACATGGGATCTAAAACAAAAAATCTTTAACTCTATTGACTAGAGACCAAATGCCCCTAATGAGCTTCTGCTCCTCTCTCCAAATAACTCAAAAAATAGTGAGGAAGAGGGAGAGGAGAGGAAGAGAGAAAGAGAAGCAAAACTCTTCATTTATCTTTTTATTGTTTGCAAAAATAATATAATAATGAGAATAATAATGACTCTTGATGAACAAGAATACCAACTTAGATCAGCAACAAAGACTTCAAAAGATATCTGGTTCTTTGGATAAAATCGTAGCAATAACTTGCATAATGTGATTACATAATTGATGCAGTCTTGGAAGAACTGAGACACTTGCACACTACACAAGTAGGTCCGCCAATTCAAAATTGCATTGCATTGACAACTCTTCCTAATAGAAGACACATTGAAGATAATACTGGAGACACTAGGAAAAAGGTAAAAGGTTTAAACTCCTTATTTTGATAGAAGAGAAGATCCCAATTTCTTTCTCGATTGGCTTAATTTAATAAAAAAAAATACTTCAATTAATGTGACACGTCAAATGCATGAAGAGTTCCATTTGCCAAGATGAAGTTGGTTGGGCTTAATATGTGGTATGCTATTAATAAAACCATAACAAGGAGAAATTTGTTGAGAACCAATTGAAGACACAAGAAAATGAGCAAGAGAACTGAGGATTGTGACAGGTGCACGGAGAGGATGGTGAAATTGAACGTGGGGGAGCAGATCGCCTAAAGGTACATTCTAGGAGATTAAAACGCACGCATCCATTGAGGAAAGCATTGGAAGTGTGGCACCTTCCGAGTTGGAGGATCCAACGCGTGTCTGTGTCGATTGAGGGAAAAATCTTGGCCATCCGATCTCCAATATAGGACACGTGGGCGGTATTTAAGGTGAACGAATTAAGGTTTCTAGAGCCGACAGATGCATTTCCACCGCTTAAGGTTCCTCTGAAACTAGCCCTCGGGTTTCCAAAAAATGGGATAGATTCAAGCATTTCCAGCTCTCTTTTTTACCTATTTTCAAATATGTAAGCATGGAATGAATTATTTTGAGTATATTTCACCATCTCCCTCAATTTTCTACCTCTCTCTCTCTCAGTCTCTCTTAAACCCTTTTGTTTCTCTTTCGATCTCCCTCTCTCTTTCTCTTAACCCAAATAATTACTTTTTAGATCCAAACTATGCATCAAGTTCGTAACAACTTGATATCAGAGCCGCATTCCAGATCCAAATGGGAGCGGTGATGGTGGATTCTACAGGAATAGAGACCACCAAACCCTTTACGAATGTCTTCGCCACTTGTTGGCCAAAATTCAAAGGGAAAACTACAAGGTACAACGACAGGTAAATCTCATGGTCCTGTTGTTGTGCGGCAACATTCCTTTTTCGGAGGCAGCGAAACCAATGACAGTCGTTGCAGCCGTGTGCATGGGGCAGAGAGAAATTTTACCCTCCCTTTTGCAGCATGAAGAAAATGAAAAAAGAAGATATGAACCTGTTGTTAAGGGGAAAACCAAAAACCAGTTCAATGACTAAACCAGTTGAAAAAGCATGGAGCCACACCAAACCTGATTCAAATTGGACTGGTTCACTAAACCGAACCGGTTCAGACTCTTCTGATGAAGACAAAGAAGCATAAGAAGAAGATGAAGAGGAATACGAAGGGGAAGATATTGATGAAGAAGAAAATGAAAAAGAAGAAAAATATAATCATCAAATATTGTAAATTTGGAGTACATTTTTCACAACTAGATACAAGGTATCAAAAAGGAATCCTTTGGTGGTATGATGACCCCAACAAAAGAGTCAGTTCTGGTAAGGATGAACAGGTCCTTGTAATGTGCCTTAGGAACAAAAATAAGCATGGTATTTTAAGGGTGAATAAGAATTTCAAGAGGAAGGGGATGTCACGGAAATACGGGCAAAATATAAAGGTTTGGGAAAAAACATGCACAGGGTCCTATAAGAATGTCTATACAACATTAAAATATTTTCTGAATAGAGGATTTTCAAGGAGATGCTAGTGGGGAAGCGCGAATTATATGCAAGCCACTAAGTGTGCCAGATGAACATGGTTGTATCTTTGAAGTAAATTACGGGCATGTTCGGTAAGATATTCACAATTCATTATCCGTCTCCCTTAGTATCACTTACTGCGGAACGGTTCTGTTATTGAAAAAAACAAGCAGGATGATCCCCCTGAGAAATAAAAGTAGTGCACCACTTCTTTTATTAAGCTGAAACACAATCAAGGGTTGGAATTTGATGGGGCCTTACCTCATGATGCTACAGTGCTTGCCGGATAAGTTCTACCAAGTAAAAATGTAGCTATTGTCCGCCCTGGTATTCTTATTCTACGGGTGCTCTGAGAACTTGGATCAAAAGTTTATTATCAAGAGCAATTCCGAAAGGTTTTTGGAAATTAACTCCCTAAGTAAAGTCAAGTCTCAAGATGATAAACATATTTATCCAGGATGTGCAACATTTTCTTCTCTTAAAGGGTTTCATGGTTTACATATCCTCCCATTAGGTAGTAGGTTCCCAAAATTATTTAAAAAGGATTGTTTTTATACACTTTCATTCTCCATTCCAAAGTCAGGCTGCAAGACGTGTGTAAAACATGTTCTGGTTCAGGAACCATCTCGGGTTGGAGAGTGGAAAATTATAAGTCATAAAAAGAATACCCCATTTATCCAGATTCATATTCAAAGCAACAGGTTAGATAATGATGTAAGAAACAATTCACTTTAGATGGCTTCAATAGAGCAAAAGAAGCCATATGAGAATGTCACTTATATATCCCAACAATTTCCTTACTTTAACCTTAAGGGCAAGGTTCATCTTCAAGAAGAGGGAATTGTTGAGAACCGGTTGCAGACGCAAGAAAATGAGCAAGAGAACAGAAGATCGTGATGAGTTCAGGAAGAGGATGGTGGAACTAAACACATGGGAGCAGATCACTTGAAGGTATATTCTAGGAGATTAAAAAGCATGGCACCGATTGGGGAAAACATAGGATGCATGGCACCTTTCGAGCCGGAGGATCCAACATGCGTCTGTGCCGATTGAAGGAAAAATCTTGGCCATACGATCTCCAGCCCGAGGCATGTGGACAGCGATTATGAGAGGTATTTAAGGTGAACGGGTTAGGGTTTTCTAGAGCCGACGGATGCATTTCCTACCGCTTAGGGTTCCTCTGAACTTGGCTCTCAGGTTTGGGGGTAGATATAGAGAATTTCCGACTCTCTT